CATTTATTTAAGGTTGAAGTACTGTTTAAATTGCAAACATAAAAGTTCCCCTTTAAGCAAATTGTAATTGGCAATATTACGACGAGACTGTCACACGGAATGCCCACTTAGCCTTATTACTAAAACTATGTTGTCTAGCTTCATGTAAGGGTAAGGTTGCATTGTAGAAACATTTGCATAAAAAGATATTACAATTTTTCTTAATATTTTTAATAACATCTATTTAATTTAATCGATACTATCATAATGAAAAGGAACGATTTGTTTTTTTTTTTATTTATTGTTAACTCAAGAACCACTGGACAGATTTAAAAAATTATTTCACCATTAGAAAGCCATGTTATCTCTGAGTGGAATAGGCTATATTAATTTAACGAGGAAGAAGTCGCGAGCAACAGTTAGTGCACGATAAAATAACTACGCTTATAAATGTTCTACTATCTAGATGCCTTTTTAAAATCCAATTGTGTATATTCCTAAGGATAAATTATGGCAAGTAAATTCATAATAATAGTACTAAAATACTAAAACAAAAATGCAAGGAAAACAAAATGAAAATAAATATAAAAATATGCATATTGACATAAAATACAAAAGCAATAAGGCGATACGATGCCGGAGACAATAGGGCCAAGTGGGCGTCGAAAAATATCTTGGAAAGTAGGTCGCTGGAAAGACCTATGAAAATAATATGCGGCATAATATATGCTGTGTGAACGTGCAGGTGACGAACAAATGCTGCATCGAAACGTGAGAACAACGCGCCTTGCATCAGCAATCAAACCTCACCTGATTGTAGACTGACTTTTCTTTACCGAGAATATTAAAAGCAAGGGAGTGTAGTCTGTAATTATGTTCCTAGCTGGCTGCTGAAATATTCAGCGAACTGTGAGAAAGAATCGGCTCACGACAGCCGGCCTAGACTGCGAAGACTAGGTGGACACAGTCGGGAACGAAGACTTTATGCAGAACTAGCCTGCACCTTCCTATGAGTACCTGAAAGCTGCTATTTTAACTGTTTGTTTAAATTAATAACCAGATTACAGTACGGCTATATTGAACATGCAAATTTGAAAATTATCGCACACCCCGCCTATAAGGCCATTAATTGGCTCTTACAAGACGGGCCTAGAGCCTAGTGCAGGAACCAGGCGATCGACCACAATTGTGTTAAAACAAATTTTGTAACTTTATAAATAAATCTTTTTTTTTTATTGTTTCCTTAAAGTTTTCACACAGTTTTTTGTTGTTTTAAAAAATTGAAACTCTGAATGTAAAACACAAAAATGGACAACATTACAAGTCGAATGTGTACAAAAACTAGTAGTTTCCTCACAAAATCTAAACGTGTGGTGACCCTTAAGACAAGTGGGCTGTCTCAATAGGTGCGCCGCAACACGCAAACCACCCCCGACTCCGCACAAATGGCAGAGAACTAACAGATGTCTAGTTGCTACAAAACTGTTTTAGGACTTTTCCGCTATATAAATATTTTATGGACTCTAGCTGATCGATTTCAAATAGATTTAAAATTATAATATTAAAGTCGCCTGATTTAAAAAAAACCTTACAGCGTTAGTGCTAACTACAAAATCTAACCCATATTTCATTTGAGTAATTAGGTATTGGATGGATATTTCCTAAATGTATCTCCTAAACGGCTAAAGCGATCTCCGCCAAATTTGGTATAGACGTAGTACATAATCTGGAAGAACATATAGGCTACTTAACTTTTTTTTTTCTTAATTCCGCGTTGACAGGCGACAAATTGTTTTCCCATTAAATGCTAACTGGCCCACGATCATTATCTAACAGCAGCCAAGGTTTGCATAAGTTTGACATTAACAACAAATAATAACCGCTACCCTTTGTGAATGTTTTTTATATTGCAAATATAAAATTAAATGTTGTATATTGAAATAAGGGTTGCAAAACTATAAATTCAGACCGAAATTTCTAAATTAAAGCAAAACTATCATCAGTTAGATAATCTAAACTAAATTAATTATATCCTCTTTGATTTTATTTCGCCCATATAAAGCTTGCTATCCACAAAGATTCGGTGAAGAAACAAGGTTGTATATCGCAGTAAAAGCCTATAGTCGGTAATGTACACGCGTGCTATTACGTCGTTTAAGCACCTCCGTATTTCTTTAAGAAATTCCAATGGTTTTTCTTCAGTGAATAAATATGAAAGCCCTTTTTTTACATTACTGTCGCGTATAACTAATACAAAATCTGCATATCTCTCGTTATGTTTTATCGCGAATCTTTCAGTGGAATGTGGGCTGTGCAAAGTTGTCAATTGTTTTGCACAACGAAAGTTGAGTATAGATTTATATAAAATTTTGTATAATTGACCATATGTCTTTTATTTGTATTATTTCAATAAAATAATTCTTAGACAGATAGAAAGAAATTTCAGAATTAATTCGGGATAAACCAATCAGTTTCAAAACGGTTGTTTAGAAGTCTAAAGTTGGATTTCTAGAATTTAGGTTTAGTTTAGTATTTACATATCTAAACAGTTTTGGCGAATCTTAATAGTGTTTCTATCTCGATCTTTGTAGTTGATTCTTCAAGAAATATATGAACATTCCAGTTTACAATGTTTTACTGTGAATAGTATTTCTAATAAATGTACAAAAGGTTCCTTTATCTGCCATAAAGGTCAACATCTCATTAATATCGGAACAATTTCTAGATTAGTTTTCTATTCGATGAGGCAGTTATGCAATTAGTATTAAGGGGGGCATTTTCACCCCTCTTGGCCTTTCTGACAACAGTTAACTATTCCGTTTCCTTGCTAGCCGCTGCCGCGTGAATATTTGATGGCTCTATCGATCATAACTTCTTCGAGGCGTATCGGGCATTGAACAAATGATACTTGTACATCATATAATATTACTATCACGTACTTATCATTCCTTATATATTTTCTAGAATGTTATGTAAGTTTTCACGCGTATCAGTAAATATACGATGAATACGAATTAAATAAATTAATCACATATTTTTAAGTCATATTTGCAAACGATTATTTCTTTTATTCAAGTAAATATATTGGCGGCAACGTTACAATCTAATTTTTATGAAATAACTAAATATAATTTTATTGCTTAGCTTCAAAGCGATTAACCAAAGACTTTCGTAGTTCATGTAACAATTAAGTAGATTTTTAACTATTTTATAGTAGATCTAATGTTTTTCAGATATAAAAGTAATTAAATACTTCCACATAAGCTCTTTATATAAATATAGAATGGACAGGAACACAAGAAATTAAAAAATAATAGTTTCAAGTTTTGCGTGATAGGTAAAGAATTAAAGTGAATTTACAATGATGCACTGTGGGGTGGTTCATGACTTATGAAGACTGTGGTGGACAGTCGGCAAAAATAGTTCCAGCTAGGAAGGCATCGGACATTCGTGATGGTAATTGCGGGGCCGCGCCACACGACAGGCGCAGGCGGCGAGACATCTCGTACAAGTTATATATTCGTCTCTGGTAATTTCCCCGTCCTCGTATATTCAAGCTTCGGCTTGAAGCCACTCTCATGCATATGTCATGAGTAGTTGCCGCGCGACGGTTTGTTGTCGGTCTGCCTAGGTGCGCGGGAACGGTCACCATCGGCCACCCCACAGACCCACCACCTATAATTATTTCGTTCTACTTTCGATTCCAGTGAGCTATTGGGACCTCCCCACCCACCGCTGGGAAAGGGATGAGGCGGCAATTAGACTCCACTTTTTCTCCAATAGCCCGCACGTAATGGCCATGTGGTGTGTATTGCATGTAAGTTCAAATTAAATGGCGGACACCGTAAAAGCAGTCATAAGTGCGATGAACACACGCGAGCCAACAAATAACGTGACAGTCTTTATTGTCCCCACATACTTTTTTGTTTGATGGATTATTGAAATAAAACTCATAAAAATGTTTTATGCATTTGAAAAAATTATTACTATGTTTGTATTATACAATGATGTTGAGCAGAGGCTCAAATTAAGGACTGGATATCTACGGATCTCAAGGAAACCCCCACTATATATGAGTTGTTTTGATTTTTTCGAATTTCATTTGTATTAACATTATCTGACCTATAAAAACATTGTGAAGACATGAGGAAAACCTTCACATAATCAATAAACAAATTCATGGAGGTGTGAATCAACCGAATACTAAAACACATTTGACTCAACATATGTGGTTTAATAATCCTCCCTATTTTAAGGTAGGCTGAGGCCACCTTGGCTCGGATGTATCTGAGCAAATGAAAAAAAAACAATAGGTCAGCTTGCAATGGATAAAATTAAATATGAATGTAACTAATTCGTATATTTCCTTTTTACCTACTAACAAAGATAAATTACAGTAAATAAACCTCAAAAATATTTATAGACTATCTATAATGTTAGGCATTTAAAAATTATTTCTGTATGTTTTTCTGAATCTCCTCTCTCTTGTTAATTTATTAAATCAGAAAGTTTTGCACTTGCTGGTATAGTTATAATTGAACAATCTATGTCAATAAAATATAGCCCATACAATACAAAACTTTTATTATATTGAAATCAAAATAGTAAATAAATTTTGTTCTCTAGATAAATATTTTAATAACAAGGCAAATTAAATATGTAAGTACTTTTGTAAGTGGAGGGTAAATACATGAAATTTATGTAACAATACATGCACACATATGTATCAGTAATTTTTAGCATTTGAAATAACAATTTTGATGAGGAAAACATGTTTTAGTGTCCACAGAATGCGTACAGAACAATTTCCTAATCAGATAACCAACAAAATGTTATGGTACTCATGTAGTTCGATTTCACAAGGAATTATGATTATATACAACACGTTTCAATTACAACGATAATATAATCACAATAAGAACAAAAAAGCCGGTTGAAATTAATCAATACCATGGAATAAATTACAACAAAGTATTCAGAAAAATAAACTTTAAGTGCATAATATGCGAAAAATTACTTACCAAAATTATTTGTAGTATACTGGTTCTTTTGTTTTAAACAATAATGAATTCTTTTTTACAGTTTATAGTTATATATATCGTTTAATAGATATAGGTTTATGAATCACAAAATAATAAAAATGGCGGTAATAGAAGGAAAATGGCAACGGTAGCAAGTGGTAGAAATGGTAGCGAAAAGAACGAAGATTATTTATTGGTAGGAAATTATCTGCGATGCTTTCTATCGCCTTAGTGCTCGAAAAAGAAATATTTGTGGAGCGTAATGAACTTTAAATTAACTTTAAAATGAGAATAAATTTTAAAAATTTCACAAGTATTTATAAAAATAAAATAGAAAAAGCTGTGATAAATTATAACGATGAGTAATTCAGCAAGTTAGATTTCCATTTAAATAAACTCTTATTAAAAATTACAACCAGAAATTAGCGCAAATTACAACACAAGTTGTGATGCTTTATTCCTATTTTTTCATGGAGATATTTTATGCCGGTACCACACGGCCGCACGGCAATGAAAGTCATGCCTTGAAAAAATTATAAACATTGTTGAGTGTCAAACACACGTCCAAATTACAAAGACAAATGTCAATGTCAGCTGTTAAAATTAAATTGCGAATTTACGAATTTACAAATTTACAATTTTTAAATTAATGAAAGGCCGATCATTTAATTCGTGCTGTATATAGTTTTATTTGAAGTTATCAAAGTTGGTGTAAATATGTATATTTTTGTAGGTGTCTGATAAAATAAACATAATTCTGTATATTCGATATTTTAATAAGAAATGAAAAATGAATAACAGTTCCGATTATATTTATTGGTCGGAGCTTCATTGCTCCAAAGACGCGCTGACTGATACTTACGGATGGTTTATGCAGTTTCTGCTTGCTGTTTTGGCCTTTACGTGCTTAATTGGTAAGATTGCGACACTGATATTCTTTACTTGTTGCGAAGTTCAACATATTGCCAATGTCAAATCATAACTTCCAATTTTACTAATTAAATTACTTGAAGGTGATTTTAAAAGGATTTAGTAATACAAATTTGACAAAATTAATGATAACAAAAGTTTATTCAAGAATTTTAAAATCCATTACAAACTTTATACTTCAATATTATGCTTCAGGTAAAAGATTTTGTGAGCCACGCTATGCCAGAAGACCTTGGTTGATCTGGTTCTATGATACATCAAAGCAAGGTTTAGGTGCCCTCATTATACATGCAGCTAATGTATGGCTTTCACCACATCTTACAGGAAATCCATGCACATGGTAAGGATATGATACATATTGTGAAAAATCTGTCCTCTAACTTCATCTGTATGGGAAAAAATACTAGGGTAGCCAATGTTCAATAATAATACATTTGAATGAAATAATTAAAATTTATATGAAAAATGTTAACTCTATTCTTCATTGAACCTTGAACATTGAATACCGTTAAATCATTTGTGCAAATGTGAATAATAATTGTAACTTAACAATTGTATTTATTTAACTAGCCAAACAAACAATAAGGAGAAATACCAGTACAATTTTTTTGTTTAATACATCATACTTATATTATAAATGCAAAGTTTTGATGTATAATCATTACTATTTATCTCCAAAACCTCTTAATGGTTCTCAATCCTATTTTGGGATAGCACAGAACATACTCCGGGAGAACACATAGGCTACTTCCTGAGTTTTTTTAAATGCCTGAGTTTTTATTTAAAACATTTTATCTTTACAGGTACATAGTCAACTTTATGTTGGACTCAACATTAGGCTTGCTTATAATATGGGCTGGAATAAGACTGGCTCAGTATTGTGCCAGAACTTATGACATTCCACTAATTAATTTCGGAGAATATGGTGAGCATATCCTAACTGTATGATGGTCAAAGCAACTAGTACTTATCCCATGAACATGATTGTTTACAATTTTTTTTCTCTTAAACCACTGATCAAAATTAACTGTTTAGTTTATATTAAAAATAAGTTACTTTTTTTTTCTTAATTTTTGAATTTTTCAGGCAAACCCCCAATGTGTGCTGCTTGGATATGCCAGTGTATTCTGTACGCGGCGTTGGCGACGTTTGCTAAATCCGTACTAGCATTGGTACTCAGACTACCCCCTGTTGTGGCTGTACTTTCGACACTTCGACTCTCTCCAGTCTCCGACCCGCGTTTGGAGCTCGCTGTTGTAATGCTTATCATTCCCTTCTTTGTTAATGTAAGTTCTTTATTTGTTATGTATAATAGGTGCAATACCAATAGCTTTGGTTATTGATTATTGTGACAATAAAAAATTAGTCATTCATTATGTGATTATGATTGTTGTAGCCTTTGTTTATCTCTGAGGCAGTCAATGTCTCACAGCAGAATACTAAAACGACATTTGAATATGTTACATCTTAAATGATGAAGCCATACTTAAACCCTTAATTCCATTAAAATTAAGAAACCTCTCTGATTGTAAGTGGTTACGATGTGACGTATTTGTTTCGGTTAAGTATTGGACCTTCAGTTCCAGAAACTAAAGCATTATGATTTTACAAGCTTTCGCCCGTAACTCTGTTCGCGTGGAATTAAAAAAAAAGTGATTAACTAATGTGTTCTTCCAGGCTAACGTCTTTAACTATACCAAATTTAATTTAAATCCGTTCCGCCGTTTCGACTACAAACTCTATAAAAACATTCATCTAAACTTTGGCATTTATAATATTAGTATGACGGTGTACTTATTTTTATATCAAAGAGTAGTTTCTAAAGCTAATGTAGTATCAAAAATTCAATTCTTTTTATCCTATAGCATTATCAAGATATTAATTATTATTTTTACTAATTGAAAATAGAACATCATCATGTATTTAACACTTTACTTTCTTTTCAGATTTTAATTTTCTGGGTTACGGATAATTTCCTAATGTATCATCCGAGAGGAGTGAGTTCAAAGATAAAAACTAAGGTATGTATTATCATCATATTATTACAACGAGTTTCAACTTCTTGACCTTTTCGGAGATAAACTTCGATAATTTATATGAGAATTTTCTTTACACCAATTGCCAATGGCAATCTACACTAATAATATTAAGAGGAAAGATTTGTATTTATAGATTTTTGTATGTATTGAAATAACTCGAAAACTACTGTGCTGATTTCAAAAATTCTTTCACCATTAGAAAGGTAATTAATCTGTCAGTAATATAGGTTATGTTTTTTATTATTTTTTTAATTTCACGGGGACGAAGCCGCTAGCAACAGCTAGTGGTATATAAATACACAATACATAAAAAGTCGAGATATTTAATAAGTCCTTTGTCTCATAAAAGTCTCAACAAATGTATTTATTGACAGACTTTGTCTTTGACTACGTCCATACAGGATTAAAAAAAAATAACTTAGAAGGTTATGTGTTTTAATATTGAATGTTGATAATAGTAGAAATTAATATTATCTCTACATATAGATTTTATATGTACTTAATTTGAATATCATAATGTCTATTTAATCTTAAATCTCGAACTACCCTCCATTTTTTTATACCTTTATTATTAAATGTAAAATTATAATTGTACATCTTTACCAGAAATATAATAACCCCCGAAATATTGCGATAAAATATGCAACTAATTAATTTGCGAAACTGATATAATAAAGAATCCGATAGAAGTTTCCAGGCCAGGGTTTTTATATTCTCGACTAGGAAATAGAATTAGATTTTGGTGTCACTTGTATTAAACTTATTGTATCAATTTTATCAATGAGATTGAAAGAGACAGTTATATGTAAATTTATTGTAATACATTTAAACAGGTACGATATCAATCGATAAAGAAAGAGAAGTCTGGATCTGAAGACGAGGAGCACTCGGCTGATGAGAGGCTGCTCGGTGCTAATGTATGACCCCACAGGCCCACTGTGCTCCGGGCTTAATTGGCAATCTCCATATGTACTCGAAATTACTGACTTGCCTCTTCCTTTTTGCATATTTATTTAATTGTATTCTAGTTCCACTTTACTTTTTTTACAACATTTAGCTATTTTTGCTATTTTTGACCGTCTTCCCAAAAGAAGGAGGAACACAATTCTTCTGCTTATATATATTTTTTTAAACTGTTCATAATTTTAACGAGATAAATTGTTATTGTCATAAAGAATCGGTTTGCATAAAAGTTGTAACAGATTTAATTTTCAATAATACATTTGGTTAAAGAGAAACGTGTGTCGTTTTTATGTATATTTCTAAAATGATTTCTAAAATCACTAAACATATCGCTAAGGGGTCCGAATTAAATTCAAATAAACATTTTAGAAGTCGATTTTCTCTAATTATAAAGGGTAAGTTCAGTTAAAGTTTTACGTTACAAGTAATTGCTTTAAAAAGATTACGGCAAGTCAGTGGTTCTTTATAAGTCCTATGTCAAAGATTATATTATTCTGTAAAACTGTTACATTAAGGGCTATAAGTGTTATTTTTTAATATGTAATCTTGAACTAAGGTAATATTACTGTTAAAATACCCAAATTGGTATGTTTATTTTTATATAAGCATATCTACAATAGTTAGGTTAGTATGGGTTTCTTGCTTATTGTGTTATTTGGCTAGGTTATTGAAGAACTAAGTGACTATTTCCATTTAGCGGCTAGCCGCGCGATTTACGGTCTAGTGGAAATAGGAACCGCGACTATATACAGCGACTTTCGCGGCCAGATGCGAAGTGGAAATAGATCTTATACTCACAGTCGTATATTCGTTTTATAAGCATAATGATATTAGATGTACAAATGGGCCATTGCTTTATATAGTTTTAATACGAAAAATATTTTTGTAATATGTTTAATTTTTTAACGTGGGTATTTGGTATGTTCCTAAAATGGCATGTACTTACTTTAGTAAGTGTTGCATGTCCATTAGAGTGCCATTTGTTTCGATAAAAGTGTAACATCGAAAAAAGACTGAGTGAAATAAGTGCAAAAAATTCCAGATTACCTTGAAAATGAGGATCTCTTAAAAGACTTTCCCTCACAATTTCTTAGGTCTGTTTTGACAACAGAGGGCGTATTACAAATATGTGTGAGAACGTTTTTGTAACCTTATCGACAGACTTTATTCTTACTATATTTGTGTAATTAGCGAGGGTACAGTACACACACA